TGGGCTGTGTGTCATCTTTACCTAATCGATACTGGGCTGTATGTCATCTTTACCTAATCGATACTGGGCTGTGTGTCATCTTTACCTAATCCCTATTGGGCTGTGTGTCATCTTTACCTAATCGATACTGGGCTGTGTGTCATCTTTACCTAATCGATACTGGGCTGTGTGTCATCTTTACCTAATCCCTATTGGGCTGTCTGTCATCTTTACCTAATCCCTATTGGGCTGTCTGTCATCTTTACCTAATCCCTAATGAGCTGTCTGTCATCTTTACCTAATCCCTATAGGGCTGTCTGTCATCTTTACCTAATCCCTATAGGGCTGTCTGTCATCTTTACCTAATCCCTAATGGGCTGTCTGTCATCTTTACCTAATCCCTAATGGGCTGTCTGTCATCTTTACCTAATCCCTATAGGGCTGCCTGTCATCTTTACCTAATCCCTAATGGGCTGTCTGTCATCTTTACCTAATCCCTATAGGGCTGTCTGTCATCTTTACCTAATCCCTAATGGGCTGTCTGTCATCTTTACCTAATCCCTATAGGGCTGTCTGTCATCTTTACCTAATTCCTATAGGGCTGTCTGTCACCTTTACCTAATCCCTATAGGGCTGTCTGTCATCTTTACCTAATTCCTATAGGGCTGTCTGTCATCTTTACCTAATTCCTATAGGGCTGTCTGTCATCTTTACCTAATTCCTATAGGGCTGTCTGTCATCTTTACCTAATCCCTATAGGGCTGTCTGTCATCTTTACCTAATCCCTATAGGGCTGTCTGTCATCTTTACCTAATTCCTATAGGGCTGTCTGTCGTCTTTACCTAATCCCTATAGGGCTGTCTGTCACCTTTACCTAATCCCTATAGGGCTGTCTGTCGTCTTTACCTAATCCCTATTGGGCTGTATGTCATCTTTACCTAATCCCTATTGGGCTGTGTGTCATCTTTACCTAATTCCTATTGGGCTGTGTGTCATCTTTACCTAATCCCTATAGGGCTGTCTGTCATCTTTACCTAATTCCTATAGGGCTGTCTGTCGTCTTTACCTAATCCCTATAGGGCTGTCTGTCATCTTTACCTAATCCCTATTGGGCTGTATGTCATCTTTACCTAATCCCTATTGGGCTGTGTGTCATCTTTACCTAATCCCTATTGGGCTGTGTGTCATCTTTACCTAATCGATACTGGGCTGTGTGTCATCTTTACCTAATCCCTATTGGGCTGTCTGTCATCTTTACCTAATCCCTATTGGGCTGTCTGTCATCTTTACCTAATCGCTACTGGGCTGTGTGTCATCTTTACTTAATCTCTATTGGGCTGTATGTCATCTTTACCTAATCGATACTGGGCTGTGTGTCATCTTTACCTAATCGATACTGGGCTGTGTGTCATCTTTACCTAATCCCTATTGGGCTGTGTGTCATCTTTACCTAATCGATACTGGGCTGTGTGTCATCTTTACCTAATCCCTAATGGGCTGTCTGTCATCTTTACCTACTCCCTATAGGGCTGTCTGTCGTCTTTACCTACTCCCTATAGGGCTGTCTTTACCTGATCCCTATTCCTGAACTAAAGGAAGTAACCCCAAATTTTCCCTTGAACTATGTTTGCGAATAATTTTTTTTCTTCAAGGCTGACAACTTTTAATTAATTTCATAAGACTTAAGACAAAGGCATCCAGCCATGTTTATGAATAATATAGCATTAAGTGACAACAAACTAAGCAATATTTGGCCCCACAGACAGATACTTACTGGTTGTAAGACAAAATCATGCAGAATCTCACCACCGAGAAGGGGTGCATGATTTTGTTGCAACTTTTAAATAACAATGAGATGGTTGCGTTGTGAAGGATTCTGTAAGGACCCACCCACCCCCAAAAAAATTTAAACCTAATCTAAGAGAATGAGTTCCAGCAAAAATAAAGGAATATTATGACATTATATTCAAAATTGTATGCGTTAATGAACTTTTGATTTCCAAAATAGTCATAAATACAGTAAGATGTTAAAACAATGTTTCAATAATTGTTCAATGGGAAAATGAAAAGAGGTAGTGAGACACAAGCCAGGCGAAATCTCTCTCCTACACATCATGCCATTTGTAACATCATTCCTGTTTGATGCCATGTTCGAACACAGCTGAGACAAATTGATTGAACCATCTGTACATGTAGCTCCTGTCACGGGGGAATGTTCCTTCAAGAAATCCAATGTGGCCACCATGAGAGGTCTTCACGATGGCTATGTTGTCATTCTCAGCCGCTTCTTTCATGGGAATAGCTGTCAGAATGGAAAAGTTAGGTTCAAATTAATTGAAGCAAAGACAAGTTATGATGATGATATGTGAGGAAACTTTATGCATAGTTACAAAATATTAATTAACATTTGAACTGTTAAAAAAAAGTTGGTCCACTTATTAGACTCATTGCTAAAATTATTAAAATTTGAAGCCATTCCACTTACAGGCTTCTGGTGCAAAAGGGTCATCTGCAGCACTCAAACACAGGACGGGTTTAGCCAGGTGATGTACTTTGGTGTAAAGAGAAGCCTCTGTGTAGTAATGATCCACTGAGCTGTAGCCAAACAGCTTTGAGGTGAATCTCTCATCAAAGTCTCTTATAGACTCACTCTGAGGAGACAAATCAAGGTTCCCAAAGTCAGCACTTATTGGTGTTGAGTTACACATGCTTAAAAGTATCTATTGCAACAAAAATGTAACAAGCAATTTGAGTAAATAGAAAGAAAAACAAGAGCTTTTATTATTTTTAACTAATTGGGAATTCCCAAAAGTATTAATCTTATTTAATGCTTTTTGTTGGAGAGTAACTTATATTTCAACTCTAATACAGCTGAGCTTACAAAGGGGAATCCCCTAAAATTGACATACCTAAAAAAAATAAAAAAAATCATGTCACTGCATCCTCAAAAGACAAACTGGTACTAAGTATTCACAACCATTTTTTACCAGAGATCAACTCACAAACAAACAGCCTAGGCCAACCACATCTTAGAGGTGCACCACAATAGACAAACACCATACTTGAGTCAAGCAAAATAAAAGTTTCAACTCTGAATAAGAGAACATACTAAAATAATGTGTTTTCTGAAAATTTAAACTGCAGAATAAACTACTTTTTTGAGCAGAAATTACTGGACACTTTGATCGGCTAACAATCTGGAAATTATGTGGGACCATTTTCTAAATTTTAAAATTCATTTCCTATGAACAGGTCTATACCTCACCTGCAACACATGAGATGTGTCTATGTCCAGATGGTTCTCAAACAAATGTAAATTTCTATTTAAAAAAAAAAAAGAAAGAAAAAAGGTAAAGCACATTTTACAATAACCTAAGTAAAAGTTGGTTGATTTTTTTTTTATGGTGAGAAATGTATTTTGTTTTCAAAAATCATATCTAGGAGCTAGTACTTTACTGAAAAATATTTAATTGACACATAAATAATTCTACATTTCTAAAGCTAACTTTAAGTAGCAGAATAAATCTTTAAGAATAACTTGGATAAATAAACTGCAATTTTAGAAACAAATCTACCTCACTGAAACACAATGATAAAAAAAAACAACAACATAAGGCTTAGTAATTAATACATTGATATGAATTAGACATGCGCTGATTAACAGCCAGATAATTTGTCACGTGTTGTATTTTGCTCTGAAGCATTGAAGGCCAATAGCTCTTAAGGTCCTTGAATTAAATTTTCTCATCAATCTCTACTAATAAAATGATCAGTTACTTTTGAAAACAAATTGGATTTTTTCCCAAGAAGCTTTTTTTTTTTTTTTTTTTTAATTTTCATTTTAATTTTAATTTTTGTGTTTTTTAATTTTTAAAAAAAAATTGGATTTTTTTCTTTGTTTTTTTTTTTTTTTTTTTTTTTTTAAATGTGCATCTTAATTTAAATTGTTGAGTTTTTCAATTATCAGGCAGACATTTAATCAGAAATGAAAATTGACTTGCAATAAGCCACAAATTAATCCCATCACCTTTTTGAGTAATATGTGAAAGTCAATAATCTTAAGATGATTAATAAGAGTTTTTCAACTGGCCAATTTACTTATAGATGCATCTTTAATAAGAATTTTAGCCAAGCGACAAGGAGTAAAAAAAAAGACAAAGAAGAAAAACTGAACAGATGTAAAAAGTTGCTTGCATATTGAAATGGTGTTTAAAAAAGGTATTCTGTTTTTTCAATGAGTGGGATCAAATTTCTGCAATTAAATTAAATATAAGAAAGTTCTTTTTTTAAATTGTTAAAAGTGTTAATAATTAAGCTTTGAAGAGAAACTAAGCTGATCAAACATTCTCAAAACTTGTCTCGGGTTTGTTTAAGCATTTATATATTACTAAATACATTGAATTGTTCTTATGAACAGAAACTTTATGCCCCTTCTAACAATTATTTTTCCCTTCTCAAATGTCAATTCCTATATCACCAGTACAAAGAATATTTTCAAATATTTACAAATACAAAATAATATGAGGATTTTGTGAAGCTTTAATTTATTGACCCCGGTACTGGGACTGTAGATGACGTACCGGTACTGGGGCTGTAGATGACGTACCGGTACTGGGACTGTAGATGACGTGTTTTTAAAATGGAAAAAAAGCAGACACAAAACAGGACAGCCAAACTCAGCGGGCAGAATGAAGAGAAACTAGCACGTCTTATTACACATATTTATAATTACTTAGCGCTTTAAGCTGTAGAGTAATAATCATGCTGACTTGACTTTTTTTCAATTTGAGTTATTAAGAGATAATTACAGAACGCAGAATTATTTTGATAAAAATAATTTAATATTTCTGACTCGGACTGATAATTAATTTAAGTGACTTCGGAACACTGATTCTATAAAGTTCAATTTAATGAATTAAGTGACACTTACTTCTTTATTATTTTTTTGTCTACTCTTGGATGCATGAAAAAGCTAAAATGCAAACTTACTTCCAAATATAGCATGCTTGCTACTCAGTGAAACTTTTTTTTTAAAAATGTGTGTGCATTAAATTAAGAGGAAACTGGCAATGTGAAACACCTGACATTAAGGCAACTCAGGCACTCACTTCTCCACTAAATAACACAGGGATTTGGCCAGAGTTTTGTTGAAAAGGTAATGGTTTACAGTTTTAATCATAGAGTTGCCTGTGGCAAACACATCCCAACCGACAGAAATGCTCATGGCAGCAATGAGGCGAGCAGACTTCCCGGTTTGTGCCATATAGTTGAACAATATCATACTGCAAAGAACAAGTTTAAAAAAGCCGCTACAGAAATGACAGATAATTACCAAGCACAGAAGCCAAAAATCAGCATGAATGGTCTTGGCAAGGAAAATCTGGCCAAGTATTACATAGTCTTTATTCTGCTGTAGGTGGTATTAAATGGTCATTACAACTGCACTGTAGAGGTCATCTTTCAAGTTTAAACAATTTTAAAACAGTGATTTCTGTATGAGGATACTTTGGGAAAATGGTGACTACAGTCGCTTGCCTGACATTTGGACTAGGGGACAATGTCTGTTCCATTTTGCTGTCTTTTAAATGAGTCTCTCCTAAGATGCATCCATGACATGTATCTGTTTCCCCGGAGAAGTCAACAAGATTGTCCACTCCATAAAACCCTTATCAGACCTCGACTCATTCTAAAAATGTTTATGCTGTGTTTTCAATTGCATTTTCATCTAAAATTTTAAAAAATATCACAGGCCATTTTTGAGAATGTTGACTTGGTGAAATTTGCTTCAACCAAAACTTTTCATGCTGATTTAAAGAAAAAACAACGGCAATATATGTTCAAACATCAACTACACTCACTTTCTGAACATCTCACAAAGATTGCTGGCTAGACGTCTGTTAAAAATCCAATAATTTAAAGGTTGTTCCAAAGTTACTGTGGAAATCCTGAAGTCATATGCAGGGGAGAAAACTATACCTGCACTTAATTGACTGGCCTCCCCTAATCTTGCTAAATAGTTGAATAAGATTGCTCTATAAAGCAGAAAATGACAACTCTGGATTAAGATGCTCTTACTGAAATAATAATTCTTCAATAATAACATGTCATGTCAACCAACCATCAAGAAATGTCAGTACTTTAGATAACTTTAATTCATGGGTCCCCCAGGGATTTTTGCAGGGGACGTATTTCAGTCACAGCCAGGAGACTTGGTAAGTAATTTAATAAGTAATGTCATTAAAAACTCAATACCAGTTACTCATTTTGGACTTTCTGGGAGGGGGGGTGTCACCTAACCCCCCTTGACCTGTGCTGCTGGCACCTAACCCCCCTTGACCTGTGCTGCTGGCACCTAAGCCCCCTTGACCTGTGCTGCTGGCACCTAACCCCCCTTGACCTGTGCTGCTGGCACCTAACCCCCCTTGACCTGTGCTGCTGGCACCTAACCCTCCTTGACCTGTGCTGCTGGCACCTCACCCTCCTTGACCTGTGCTGCTGGCACCAAACCCCCCCTTGACCTGTGCTGCTGGCACCTAACCTTCCTTGACCTGTGCTGCTGGCACCAATGATTTAGTTATTATTCCCGTATTATTATTATTTTTTAAATTGTAAAATAACTATAAGAAGATAGAGCATTTGATAAGCAATCGTCACAAAGAAATGATTTTCTGTAAATGCCCTGGAAGCAATTTAAATGCATCGTGATAACATCAAACAAGACATTGCGTATTATTATTTACAATAAATCAATATGTCAATTATCTCTACCTGTAAATTATGAACTAGAAAACAATTATTAAAATGCTGCCTCAACATACTAATAAATCAGAGCAACTCAATTGTATAAGACTACTTGTCTGCATTCTTGTGATACAATATTTCCCCATTAAGTGTTTGTGACTCGACTCAACATTTCCCCCCATTAAGCACTTAGTAACTTCAAAGGAACTCATTCTTTCATTCCAATAAATTATTTGGTTGCCACAACTGATTATCTCAGATTAAAGAAGGTATCTCAGATTAAAGAAGGTGACCTTTTAATAAAATCAAATAGAATTATGTCAATTTCTAAATATCTCTGCCTCATTTTAATCTTTAAAACAAGGATAAGTCAAGGCTGCTGTTAACTACCAATGGTTTTAAGTATCTCTGCCTCATTTTAACCTTTAAAACAAGGATAGGTCAAGGCTGCAGTCAACTACCAGTGGTTTCAAGTTATCCAAACCATGGAGGTACTTTTGAAATCAATGTTGTGGAAAAAAAAAACACCTTTATTTTTATTTTTTTTGTTTGTCTGATGTACATTTGTTTAGTTTTGCATTTATGTCATTTGATTGTCAATCATCAGAGTTATCCATTCCCCATGATCATATCTAAATAAGTAACTTGTTTGTCCTTACCCTCCAAGAGACACCCCGACACCCATCAGAGGGGCATCAGGATACTTATCTTTGATGTGCTGAATAACAAATTCTGTGTCCTCAATGTTAGAAGCACAATATGTTCGTGGTGTCTGCAACCATAGAACATATTAATTACTCGAAAATACTTCAAGGAAAATAAAATATATAAAGAATTTCAAAATGAAAATATGTGCTACTGACAGATTCAGAATATTTATTTTCAACTTTTTAACAAAAGAAATATTCTTTTATTTATTGGTATTATGTTCTTTGTTTTTGCAAAATTATTATAAAGACTGAATTTCAAAGTTTATTTATTGAACAAAAAAATCTCAAAGAGAATGCATTCAACAAAGCTCAACAGGAAAGACTGGAAATGATAATTGACAAAGTAGAAACATTAGTCAAATTATTTGGAGATACAAATTATAGTTTTAAATAAGTTATTGTAAGAAGTAAAAGCAAAAAAGAATTTTGGTTCACAATTTTAAGATTTTTTAATAAAAAAAATAAATAACAGCATATTTCCACAACATCTGAATTGTTTGTATTAGTACACATTGAAATAAATTAGCAAATTTATTAAAAACAGTTTATTCATATGTTACAATCTTTTAAAATGTATTTTTAAAGCTGACATTTCTTACTTAGATTTAAGTATTAATATATATTTAGAATTTAGAATATTTTTATAAAAGTTACTAAATAAATACTGAAGCTTGAAAAATAACAACCAACAGCTCTCCAGCTTAATTCAAGGCCATGTGCCATGAGGAAACAAATTCTCGGAAGCATGTTATAAAGCTTAACACATTTGACAATAAAAAGATACAGGTGCCGCCATTAACTGGGAATAGGTGGAGTAACTCATACTACCTTTAGTTTTGTGTCTCCAGTCCCCCTGTTGTTGAAGACCACACTCCTGTATCCTTTTTCCCTGGCATCATGGACCATGTGTAGAATATAGTTCTCTTTGCTACTGCCTGTAACCAAACAAAATAGTATCCAAAACAAACTTCAATTTTGTTAACAAGAAAAGAAAGTGCTAACAGATATAAATATAAATGAAAACTTAAACTAATGCGGCTTACAAAGACTTAGACATTGAACAATAAAAAAAAAAAAAAAAAAAAAAAAAAAAAAAAAAAAAAAAAAAAAATAAAAAAAAAAAAAAAAAAAAAAAAAAAAAAAAAAAAAAAAAAAAAAAAAAAAAAAAAAAAAAAAAAAAAACAAAAAAAAAAAAACCATTCTCTTCATCTCATTGTTTGGGGTTACTTATTATATAGCAGTGTGAGCCAGAAAAAAAATATCATATGTGTCAGTGCGTGCCACAACTAAAATATCATTCGCGTCAGTGTGTGCCATAACTAAAATATAATACGTGTCAGGGTGAGCCACAAAAAAAATATGTGTCAATGAGTGCTACAACTAAAATATCATATATGGCAGTGTGTGCCACAACTAAAATGTCATTTGTGTCAGTGTGTGCTACAACTAAAATATTGTATGTGTCCAATGATGTAATGGTATCAGCAGCAGAGTTCTTTTTGATGATTAAACATTACTAAAAGGAAAATTTTAATTGGCTGTTTGTAAAACCGGTACCATATCATCATACTGTATCATCATTGCTAGTTAAATATGTTCTTCGTAACCTGTACAATCTAGAGATTTCAAACTTATTAATCATTAGCTGTGTCATTCAATGTTAGCCAACCCATTCTATTTTCATCTTTACAGATATTGTTAATTTTTGTTCTTCAAATGTCTTTAATTGTTCATTTTCTTAACTGGCAATACAAGCAACAGTGCCAAAGACCTTGAGTTTATGGCAGGGGTGGCACTCACTGAAAGCTGTGAACCCTGAAATCACTTTCTAAAAATTTATTGAAACCTGAAACTTCATTTACAAATTTTTCAATCCCTGAAACTTAATGAAACTCAAAATTCCTGATTATTGCAATGCGGCATTTTGTTGATTAATATAAAAACAAGCATGAAATTATCAAATAAAACATTGAGATACATCACAAATGAACAAAATTAAGCAATTAAGGTGTATACGTGTAAACATTTATTAGTATTTATTAAATTTACAGCAATAGCAATTTTCAATTTACTTAAACTTGAAAAGTCAACTTTTGCAATGAGTTATCTGGGCATTTTAGAACAAAAGTATAGCTACCACAAGTGGAAAGTATCTTTTCATATATGGAGTTAATGTTATCTTCTTTATGATGAAAATGGATAGTTTGAATCAACACACTTTAGTGTCTTATACTATCTCCCAAGTGTGAGAGTTTCATAGTTTGACACATAAATTTCATAAATTGAGAAGTTACAAAAGTGGACACCTAAGATGGGTGATAAAGCTGGTATCATCAGATGATTTACTCAGACATTTTCCCCTTGAATACTTGATATCAATATTTCCAGCATAGTATTCATTGATGGCTTATTCAATCATGATGCCAATTGCTGTACTGTAACTGTAATGCCCATCAGTTCTTTAAAGTTAAAGGAACTGTTAACTGTTGGGCATTACATATTTTTATTGAGCCTAGATCCTGAATAGTGAAACAAAATAAAATATATTATCATATTAGATTTATAGTTTATAGTAAGGCATACATAATAATACTATCGACTATATTATACCAGTATTTAACTACGGCACTACTGCTACGGTAATACAGAGCATTATGAATACTAGTAATAGTAGAATTACAAATTACCGTAAAGTATACCCAGAGTCAGAACACGGGAGTGCATAACTAATAAATAAAAACTAACTAAATACAGTTATGTCAGGCTCACTACAGAACGGATAAAAAATAACTTAATCATATTAGCCTATTTAAAATTAGACGGCTTACTCCTTAATTAAATGTCAAGTGAACTTAAGAAGTCTTATAAAAAAAAGTTAAACGCCGCCTAGCTCTTCTAATAAAAAAAATTACAAGTCACCTGCATACAGTAAAGCTACATAACAAAGTACGCTAAGCTTAGTCTTGTTAGACAGCGCTCGGGCGAGTAGTTTTCTTTTTATGATAATGGTTACCCAACAATTAAAAACTAAATTTAAAAAATATTTACTAAATTTTACATTTTGCTTACCCAAACACTTCAAATATCTCTTGATCGGCGACGTGAACAGAAAATAAATATTTCTGGTCTATCGAAGTAGTACGGTACTCGAAACGCATAGTGTAAAGCGCATGCGCAAGCGGAAACCACTAGCTCTCTGGCAACAGAAAGGCTAAAAATAGACGAGATCGGCAATTAACGTCCATTTTCAAGGAATTTTCCTGGTTTTTCGCGAATTCTGTTGCACGTTGATTCTTTAAAAAAACCCAGACAGAATCCGTATTTGAATAAATTGAACTGGCGAATCCGGAAAGAGAGAATATAAAAACTCGCGAATCCGGAACTGAAAAATATTTAGCCTCACGAATCCGGAATTCCGGGATGACCCGGAAAAGTGGCATCCCTGGTTTATGGTTAATTAGAAACTGCCAGAACCACCTGTCGTTTACCCATAAAATAAAAATCTGAAAACCTGTTAGCCCAGGCAACATAAGGATGGTCGGCCTTGTTGCTTTTGGAAATTTGCTGTGGTCATCACTTTCATCCCAATCAAGTTTAATTTCTCCTCCATCTGCAGTCATCAAGTATTCACTGTTCAAATACAACAAAAGGTCAAGTATAAATTAAGAAGAGAAAGTAAAAAAAATGGCAATGTTTATATGGACACAGCACACAATATAGTTTGATGTCAATGTTTTTATGGACACAGCTAACACTATAGTTTGATGTCAATCTTTTTATGGACACAGCTAACACTATAGTTTGATGTCAATCTTTTTATGGACACAGCTAACACTATAGTTTGATGTCAATGTTTAAATGGACACAGCACACAAATTAAGTTTGGTGTCAAAGAAAAGAAAGAATATCAAGACTAATTTGGTTGAAAATACCAGCAATATCCATAGCAATATAATTCTTTAAAAAGAATTCAGGAGAAAAAAAAGACAAAAGTTATCCAATACTTTTTGTGTTGAATCATAAACTTTAAACTAAAAATGCAAATAGTTCATGTAAATTCATTAATAAACTCTTTTTTTTATGAACATATTTAAGATGTAGTGTATAATCATCTTAGTTTTAAAACTTATAATCAAAACTGTGAATTTATCAGTGTAAATAACAAATGTGAGTTGAATTTTGATTGGTAGTGAAGTACTAAATGCACTAATTAATAAAATCTTGATTTATAGTGAAATTCTACAAGTACTAATTAATAAAATATTGATTAGTAGTGAAATGCTGTAATTACTAATTTATAAAATATTGATTAGTGTAAAATATTACAAGTGCTAATTAATAAAATATTGATTAGTGTAAAATATTACAAGTGCTAATTAATAAAATAAGGCACCTTGAATAATCTACATGAGGACTTGACTGAATAAGAGCTCGGAGGACTGTGTGTGCTCTCCCCTCAAAGCACCACCAAGTTGGCCAAAACTTTTCTCTTGAAATGGGGCAATGCTCATCAATGAAATGCCGCAGTTTTTTATCTCCACAGGCGATGACTGGTTTCTGAGGGAGGGGGTTAATAAAGTTTAGTCAAACAGAAATAAACAATCTTGCATGACTCGACAGCTTTCACAAATCAAGAACAAAATCTATGACTAGATCCTGCGTGAGAATAAACAGAAGAATATGAGAGAGACTACTCTGCTCTATCTTTGTACAATGATGATGGGCCATTAGGTTTGGCTTACGATGCATTCTGTGACTTAATTTCATTAGACATACTTTCTAATAAGTAAATGGAAATGATTTTAAGGTCAATGATGAAATATCATTAACAATTTAGCTAGTGATTAGAAACATTTTATTCATTTAAATTTTAAATCATGGAAACCAATTAAGAACACTAACGTATGCCCAGAAACAATTTAACTATAACCAACTAATCAAGAACACAAACATATGTCCCAGAAACAATTTAAATATAACTAACTAATCCAAAACTCTAACATATGTCCCAGAAACAACTCAAATATAACCAAACAATGAAGAATACTAACATATGTCCCACAAACAATTTAAATATACTCAACCAATCAAGAACACTAACATATGTCCCAGAAACAATTTAAAAATACCAACCAATAACTTCATTTCACTTCAATAAAGTTAATTAATATACACTTATGGAGCCGAGTAATGTGTGTGACTGACTGTTTTAGATAGGTTTAATATGTAGAAACTTGAGAAGATCAGGTCTCGAGGACTAGAACTTTGTTTGGTTTTATAAAAAATGCCCAAGAAAAATTCTATAGAAAACAGGACAATACAAAGCACCAAATGGGCAGGTGAACAAAGGCGCAATGCGAGTAAAACTTTGAATGAAAAAAGCATTAGAGCGCCCTATAAATAGTAGCATGCTGACAGACTAGAGACCATGTAGGTCACACATCCACCAAGTGGGTCTTTCATTTGCCTTCTGGCAGATTTCCTGCGGTAAAAGCCTAGCTGTAAATGCCATGTTTTGATACCCTCACCCCGAGGTCGAATTCCAACACAGTGTTGAGCTAAACTCTGTTTTGTAACAGCGTGGCCTACAATGCCACACTTATGGCCCACAATGCCACACTTATGGCCGACAATGCCAAACTAATGATCCACAATGCTACACTTATTGCAGACAATGACATATTTATCGCTTCCAATACCACACTTATGGCCCACAATGCCACACTTATGGCCCACAATGCCACATTTATGGCCCACAATGCCACATTTATGGCCCACAATGCCACACTTATGGCCCACAATGCCACACTTATGGCCCATAATGCCACACTTATGGCCCATAATTCCACATGTATGGCCCACAATGCCACACTTATGGCCCACAATGACTCACCTATTGCCCACAATGCCACACTTATAGCCCACAATGCCACACTTAACAATGCCACACTTATGGCCTACACTGCCACACTTATGGCCCACAATGCCACACTTATGGCCCACAATTCCACATGTATGGCCCACAATGCCACACTTATGGCCCACAATGCCACACTTATGGCCCACAATGCCACATTTATGGCCCACAATGCCACACTTATGGCCTACAATGCCACACTTATGGCCCACAATGACACATTTATGGCCCACAATGCCACACTTATGGCCCACAATGCCACACTTATGGCCCACAATGCCACACTTATGGCCCACAATGCCACACTTATGGCCCACAATGCCACATTTATGGCCCACAATGACTCACTTATGGCCCACAATGCCACACTTATGGCCCATAATGCCACACTTATGGCCCACAATGCCACACTTATGGCCCACAATGCCACACTTATGGCCCACAATGCCACATTTATGGCCCACAATGCCACACTTATGGCCCACAATGCCACACTTATGGCCCATAATGCCACACTTATGGCCCACAATGCCACATTTATGGCCCACAATGACTCACTTATGGCCCACAATGACTCACTTATGGCCCATAGTGCCACACTTATTTCAAAATGAATACACTGATGTAACCTTATATGGAAATATCTTCACTTTTAAATTTAAAAAAAAAAAAACCTGCACTATATTTTAAAATGATTGGAAATGTAATAATTTTTTTATAATACTAAGTGATTTAAAAATCTGGATGACAAATCTTCAGTTTAAAGTCCCCCTCCCCTTTTAAAAAATAGTTCTACGAAGAAAGCTGTTAATCACTGGTGATGGGAGAGGGTTTCCAAAGTAAATCAACAATTCTTTTAGAATGAAAATTCATAATTTATTAATTATCCATATTTCAGAGGACACATAAATATTACAGAGTGCACATACATATTACAGAGTACACATACATATTACAGAGTACACATACATATTACAGAGTACACATATTATATATTACATAGTACACATATGTATTACAGAGTACACTTATATTTGAAGGGTCCAAGTTTTGAGTTAAATCAGCTGATTAAACAAAGATAACTGTTATGATATCTGCTTCACGCTGTATCTAAGTTTTAAAATAACTTGTATTTATCTGATAAGGAAAATTAATGATTACCATTCATTCCAATTTTACCAGGACCTGGAACTTAGCAATCCCATTCTCATAAATTATTTGTCTTAATACAGAAATAAAACAATTAGGACAAAAGTAAGACTGTTGTATTTCTATTTTCAAATATTTTAATAATATCAGGGCAATGTTATATTTTTGGACTCAAATGAAGATGCAGATTAAAATTACAGCAGGGGTACCATAATATCTTTTTTTTTTTTTTTCTTCTTTTTTTTTGGGTAGGGGGTGGGTGGGTGTGTGTGTGTGAAGTGTATCATTCAAATTGCTTTGAATCTTTTTAAAAAAGTACATTTCAAGAGTTATTTTACAGGTAAATTTCAAGAGTTATTTTTTAAAAATTAGAGTTTTAATCAGCTAGATTATTTTCTAGAAAAAGTTTAATTTTATTAACCATAGACACAAAAGTAAACAAATTTTGTTTTCTTTACTTTTTATCTATTACAAATAGTTTTTAAAATTACAATTAATCTAGATGCTTTTTTTTTTGTTGTTTTTTTAAATTTAGATGTAAAATTAGAATAAATATAGTAAGAAATAGAAAAGCCAAGTCTATCATAACTGCAAAAAAATTTAAAAAACACACATTGTGAATTCTTACCTTTACAACATAGAAGAAATAGTAAGCTGCATATAGCCCAGCAAGACATACGCATAAAGTAATGGATGGATTTTCAACAATGCTAACCAAAAAATGGTTAATGCCAGCCATGACTATAGGAAACTGCTCAAATATCCCTTCCTATCTAACAGTTGATGTTGAATGGTCCTTAAACTAATCTGTAGTGACAAAAAAAGAATGACAGGGCTGTGTTAATCATTAAAGGTCATGACCTACTTCAATATGAAAAAGTGGGCTATTTAAAAAAAAAAATGTGATCACAATTCAATGATGTCATATTAGTCAACCAGCCACCAGAGGGAAAAAAAATCTGTACTGGATAAAAGCTAACCATGCAGATTTTTTCAAATGTATTTGAAGAAAGAAGTGCCATAATAAGGTCACTCCAGGTCATGAGCATCTGCAGAGTTGAGCAAAACACTTTCTCCTAGATATATTCAAAAGTGATGTCACTCACACTGATAATTTTAATCTATAATTAACCTCTTATACTTTAGGAAGAGGTAATTTGATAAAAATTAATTTCAGCATCAATGAATATCAATTTTACTAACAAAGCTGAAAAAAAGAATCACCTATTTAAAATCCCAATAAAGCAGAGTACTTACAGTTTGGTCAAAGTCAACAAGCAAGCGTAAAATGAAACACTTCCAAAACTGATATTACAAGTCACATATCCTCAGTCAAATTTCAACATTTAAAGACTTGAAAACCAAAAATTAATGTCAGCAGCAAAAAAACCTTGGAGCAAGCAAGTACCAAGCAGTTAGTACCTGAGCAGTGGTTCTCAGGTTTTTTAAGATCTGAACTTTTAGCGTGATTTTTTAAGTAACAGCATTCATAAGTTAACACATCTCTAAGGATGGGACTCATAATACAGGCATATATAATTGACATACAACTTTTAAAATGGTTGAATATTGCTTAAACTATTCCTTAACTGCTTAAAAATCAATTATCATAATGTAATTTAATCTGTGATACTATATCGGTTGTCACTAATCGCCTGTTAGGGGAATGCGAAGGGTAGGTTGTTTGTAACAGTCAGCAACTACTTACTTAATATTTGCATAAATTACAATTGACAATTTACATTTTTATCCTAGGACTAGGAATGAGTTCTACATTGCTGTTATGCTGTTACTGCTTTGTATTAAGAGTTGCCATAACACTGTGTTGCCTGTTGTACTAAATTACATCTTTTTTCAGTTATGTCACAATTTTGACTAAATAATGTTTTAAAAATAAACTACGTAGTCTATTCTGGCCAGATAGTGACACATTTTTTTTTTTTTAATGTGTTAGAAATAATCACCCAGTGGACGTGTCTGTCACCTGCTCATTAGTGGAACCGTCTGTCATCTTCTCATTAGCCCAGGTCAAGAGAATCTAGTTATATTGCTGAAATTTTATAAGAGATAATAATAAGTAGCTGCATTTAAGATTTTTTAAATAGGACTCATTCAGTTAATCATTGACCCAGGGTCTACAGACACTTTGCCCTGTGGTTCTCCACCTTCATAATGATGTGAACCTTTAATACAGTTCCTCATCTTGTGGTGACCACCAACCATAAAATTATTTTCGTTGCTAAATCATAAATATGTGTTTTCCGATGGTCTTAGGCAACTCTTGTGTAAGGGTCTTTCGACCCCGAAAGGGGTCACGACCCACAGGCTGATGAGAACCACTGCCGGGGGGTTTGGGGGTGGTCTTTAATTTACCTAGGCTAGTCAATAAAGTAAATGAGAAAAAGAATCAACTATTCACTATAATTTGTTTTAACAATAAAATTTCTTAGCAGGACAGGATTAATTTTATAAATAACAAAAACTAGAGCTTGGTGGCCTCACAATCCAGGGGTCCTTCAGTAAAGTACAAATGTTTGGGGGGAAACATTTTTAAAATAAAGAATAAAAAGTAATATTTAAAAGTACCCGGTAAAGAGAATGTAAATAAAGAATAAAAAGTAATATTTAAAAGTACCCGGTAAAGAGAATGTTTTTAAAAGACCATATCGGGCAGACGGCAGTGGAACATCAAGCGCACCATAATAACCATACGTTGAATAAGCAGACTAATTGCAGTGAGACGGCCGATGCAATGATACATACATATTGCATTAAAATGAAAACTTTTTTTTTTCTGAAATCTATTGCCTTTTTTTTTTTATCTATAAACTTAAAAACCTTTTGATCAATTTATAAAAATTAATTTTATCTGATTTTGAGCTGACTGATAAAGCTGCTATTGAATTGACTGAACACATTAAGAGTTTAGATAAAAAAATTTTATGATTTTTATATTTCTTATGCATGTAAAAAATATCAAATTTGAAGCCTACATAATGTTACTAGATTGTGTCATTACAAAATTTAAACCTACATGTTATTAGACTGTCTCATTTTAAAGTTTAAACCAATATTATGTCACTAGACCTTGTCATAAATAGCAGTAATACTTTATTTGAGCATTTTTTTTAAATGTTCTAAAATTTATTGGGTTTGACCTTACATATTTTTTAGCACTAGGGTCTTCAATTGTAAAAAGCATTTTTAATGTTATCATTTATTTTGGTTGGCTGACCCTTTTGAAACAACTTTTTAGTGTAATTACACAACAATAGGTCTCCAAACAGAAATGACGCCTCACCAAATCTAAATCAACCTCAACTACTAAACTACCAAATGAATCCATGTAACAAATAAGGTTAAGTACCCTGGGAAGCATTTAAGTGTGTTGATGGGTCACTTTAATATTTTCATGGCAAATTGCAACAGCTGTCAAACTTATTTAATAATGGCTTAAATATTATTTAACATGCATAATTTATATATTTTTGCAGCATCAACAGCCACACACCTTAGTGACATGAGGTGTTTATTGCAAAATCTGCAAAGGTTGCAAATTATCACTTTCTAAAAATGTTCATAAATTGCTATTTCTACTTGCTAAAAATATATGTGGTAATAATCTGCCGATGTGTTAGTAGTTGTTTTTTTTTATTGATGATGACAAAATTAATAAAACTGTTTATAAAAGATCAATCTTAAGTCCAAAAACGGAAATTAGGCCAGATTAGCTATTACTGTTGTAAAATATATATGAGATTGTGAAAAATGAGATGTCATCTTGTTGAGAATGTGTCAGCAACTCACAGAGGTTGACAGAACTGCAGTCTAATTATACACTTAACCATACATGCCAACCTGCGGGATCAACAAACCATACAAAATATCCAAAAATATTGTACAGTAAAAAAATTTGAAGTCCAAAAATTTATAAACCTTTTAACCATTTTTATCAATGTTTTGAATGCGTGAATAAAAATGAATTTTTATGGTGTGTGCAAATTTTAGTACGTTTACATTAATAATAAATAAATGGATGCATTGCATCTACTAAGTGAAAATAGGTTGTTTTAAGTCCAATTTTTTTCTTCAAATTTTGAGGGGGTTTTTCAACTGGTCAAAAGCAATTTGATTAAAAATGGACAGATGATGAATGTTATAGCAATTTAGATGTATCAAACATAATTATTTGGTTAATTATGCTAGCTTTAACTTTAGTATACATATTCTTGTACTTAATTAAAATTATTAATTATAATTAAGGAAGTATAATCAAGTTTGTCCATCTTTATAAAGTTGTTGTACAATCTTATTATCACCATACTTGGTAATTAAGCCATGCTGTTATAAGAAAAAGGAATGATTAAAAGTAGTTATTGATGAATAGTAATAGTAATATTATATTATAATATTTATTGAAAGATCTCTTATTAACACTGCATTTCTTGGTACACAGATAAGATTTACACAAATATGTTTGTAAAGGCTTACTACTCAAAGTAGTTACCATCATACTCATACTATGTTATATTAGTTAGTTATTTATGAAATGATATCAATAAAAGTGAAGCCATACTGTTTCTAAATTTAGATGGCCCACCAATCTTCAACTTTGTCAATTTTAGCCTGAAGTAGGATTTCATTTAACTAAGCCATCCCAAGTCCAATATATATTATATATACTGATTAATAGGTAAAAGTAAAACTGGGTACGAGTAGTCTTATTTTTGGTTATTTCTTGGGCATATATTTTATGTAATTTAACTAATTGTAACTTATATAATTATAAGCCACTAATCAAAAAGTTATAAAGGTATAAGCCTACTTATATAATATAATATAAATTCTTAAAATGAATGATCAATGATAGATAAACTGATCTGATAGTCTCTGAATTTGGACAATTAGGCCTATTTTTTTAATATAAATATAATATTTAAAAGTAGGCCTATTTAAACTATTTACTATTTAGTTAATTAACTGATTAACTATCATGAGCCGGTGGGAACGCCTGGGTGTTTCTTTCATTATGGCCACGAGCTGGCGGTAGCGCCAATGTTTGTATCATAGTAAATCAAGTCAAATATTTATATTATTCCGTTCCCATTTTGCTTCGAGATTTTAATTTACCCCAGGATGTTTATATTTTAATCAGATGCTACCGGCAGAATGCTTTAAAAACCGAGCTGTCATTAATTTTGAATTATTTTCAAAGCTAGTTACAAAATTTTACTACTAGTTTATCATGACAATAAGTAACAGGGTTACTAAAGGCATATACGTGATTGAAAGTGTAAATATTATTAAATATCTGTGTTCTTTGGTGCATTTTTCTTATTTTTGGATATACTATTTGGAAACCACCATATAACAGGCTTTAAATGATTTGGAAATTAAAAATTTATACGTAAGTTGGCACATGTCACATTTATATATATTTCTTATTGTTTTCTGTTGTAAATAGTAATTTAACAATTAATAATTTCCCAACAAAACTTAACAAATTTTTTAAGTTTATTTTATAGACAATTCAATTACCTACAGAATGGTTTATTAATCATTATTAATCATTTATAATTAAGAAAACTGCAGTTGAATTTGTACATACAATTAAAATGAGAAATTTTGACCTAGATTTAATCGGCCACAGTGGGTTTTTCAATCTGGTAGTTAATCAGTTAGGCTAAGCCTATTTAAATTTAGGTTATTAATTTTATTCTGATTCTGACAGGCTATGTTGCTGCAACCAAGTACTGGCATATGTGCAATGGTTTGGGACACGATGCTGCTATC